ATCAGAACAGAATCCAAACCTACGCACAAGGATATTTGCCTGAACATAGATCATACATAGAATATATATATATATATATATATATATATATATATGTTGGTTTTTTTTGTGTGTGTATTTTTTGCCCAATGGTTAAACAACGATCAACTGGTTTTTGTCACTTCAAAGTTTTGCCTGGCTATAGCCATGAAATCTTTGTTTTTGGTCCAAGATACATTAGAAATGCTCAAGGGTATCCAGAAAACTGAGCTAACCAAAAATCATGTAAACATTTTATTTTTCCTTCTTAGATTTATGTCCATCAACTAGAATTTTAAAACTTTAACTGATTAGTGAAAGTAAAGGAGTTAAATAACGAGTGAAAATATATGTTGCAAAGACTGTGGAATGAGTTGCCACTGCATGTCAGGTAGGCTCTCACACTCAGTCTTTAAGTCTTGCTTGAAAACCCATTTTTATTCCCTTGCCTTTGGCACGGTGTGATTTGTTTTGATTCTGTCTGTATTCTACATTATTGGCCATTTAGTTATTATCTGCTGCTATTTGTATCTATATTTTTATTTTATGTTTTCCTGTCCACTGCGCTTGTATGTTGCTATTGTACAGCACTTTGGTTGGCATTGTTGCTGTTTTAAGTGCTCTATAAATAAATTGCTATGGTATGGTATGTAAAAAAATGAATCCTTCTATAACCAGTCATTTAAGTTAGCATTTTCTCTATGTAGCTGCAAATATTTGGTATTTGTGACAGGGATAAAGTCAGCTTAGGTGTTTGGGGACAAGTAGCTCTCCCTTCTGCTAAACAACATATAGAAATGTCCCTATTCAGTTTCTCTAAAAGGAACAGACAACTGAGTGATTTTCAGAATGCAGTGCAGGTTCAATTCAAAGCTTTTCATTCCATCCTTTGTGTTGTCTTGATGGCTCTGTAGCACTGAGATGGTCAACAACTGGTTCAGACCGAACACTGCAAGAACCCAATCAAGGGAAAATACTTTCAGACATATAGCTTATTTAACTTTAACAACAACCTTAAATGGAATGAAAATTGATTCCTTAAGCATATGTCTCTTTGTGGAGCCTCTTGAACATGAAAAGAGCTTTGGGGCAGCTGGGAATCTTCAGAAGAGAGTATTTTGGCTCCAGAGTAACCTTGAGTATAATGAGGTCAGATGTTGTTCAGAGAAGTTGTTATAGAGTGTTGGATATAGTTTTATAGTTATTTTAAAAATCACATATGAGGCTGATCGTTTAGCGTTCTGGAAATAATAAAATGACATAAAATGTCAGGGCAGTAGTGTTTTTGAAAACCTTGGCCCATATGACTCTTTAGTAAGAGCTTTGTAGCCCATATGGAACATCTGAAAGCAGGGTGTGGTAATGCGATACAGTTTGAACCGCTCTCCTGGAGTCCAACTATAAACCAGGTGAACTTGCTCAAACTGGCAGACATGAACTGATGTTTCATAGGGTGATAAATGCTAGCTTTCTTTTTGACCTGCCTCTATATGAACTCTAAAATCTGGAACTTATCTTGTATCTCCTTTGGACCAAATCTCTTGTCATGCGATAATGCCACGGGGGAGATACAAGACATACGTTTGTTTGAATGTTTGTTCCTCGCACCAACATATTTACAGATGGTATGCAAAAGATAATACATCCTCAAATGCAGGCCTTATAAGTAATGACCCAAAGTTTAACCTAGTAGTGTCCAGATATTCATACTTGCAAAATACCCTGATACTTTGGATTAATACTACTTTTGTGCTTGGTGTCATCATTTCCTTTTCCACTTTGCAAGTAACCAAAGACAAAAACTTTAAAATAACTATAGTTTAGAGATATTTTAAGGTAAACACAGGTGATGTTAAGGCAGCAGACTGTTTGCTGTATTCCTAATGAAATAAATGTTTTTCTATAGTCACTGTGGAATGTTTAAGAACTAACCATTAACTTCTCAATATCAGTACTTATTATCAGCAAGTACCCAAAATGAAGTACTTGCACTTGTACTCGGTCTGAAAAAACTAGTATCAGGACACCCCTACTTTAAACCAGTAACTGTTCTGCACTTGTAAAGTTTCTTTCTTTCGGTTCGGCTGCTTTCTTCTGCAGGGGTCGCCACAGCGAGTGAACTCACATGAAAGATTTGGCAATTGTTTTATGCTGGATGCCCTTCCTGACACAACCTGGACTCAAACTGGCAACCCATTAATATTCTTATTAATACATCTAAATCTAACATTAAAGTTTCTGATAGTAAGCATGTATGTGTTTTGCCAAAATAAACATCCTTATCCATTTTTTATGTATTTGGTCGGCATAATGTGATGAAAATTATATAAAGAAGTGACTTTATACATATCTAGTGTAATTTTCATAATTATTATAATTATATTATACATACATACATGCATTTGCAATTATTTTAATTACAAAGTAACACAACAGAGGGAGTGATGACGCAGAGGTTAGAGAAGGCGAGCTTGTGATCGGAAGGTCGTTGGTTCGACTCCCCGAATTGACAACATCAAAAAGTGTGGGTGGGAAAGGTGAAGCACCAACACCTGCCTGGACCCTCATTTGCCTCACTCTGGGCCCTTGAGCAAGGCTTTGAACTCCCACCATCTTCTCCCCAGGCGCCCTAGATGGCAGCTCTCTGCTCGGTAGCTCGGCGGCCTGTGCTTTTGTCAGGAAGGGCTTCCGGCATAAAACCAGTTGCTAATTCTTCGTGTAAGTTTGTTCAATGTGGCAACCCCTGAAGAAGGGAGCAGCAGAAAGAAGAAGACAAAGTAACAACATTAATTCAAGAGTTGTTTTTTTTGTCACTTCACAAATTGAATTATGTCAGGTTGATATGTTTCTTATTCATGAATTTGCAAACAAAAGGATTGGCTGCTTTTTATACTTTTTTTTTATTGTTTTGATTTTTTGTTTGATTAAATTAGGAGATTGGATATTTTATGACTCCTAAACAAACATGCTACTTTAAATATTTAGCAAATTAAAAATACTTTGACACGTTAAAGACAAATCCAACAATGTCCAGTCAGGTCATCTGGATGGTTTCTTTTTTTGCTGAGACAATTGTGGGAATCAGTTTGTTTTGTGGCTCCTTGGATTGAAGAAGTTTTTTTGATGAAGGACGAAACGTCTCAGCAAAAAAAGAAACCATCCAGATGACCTGACTGAACATTGTTGGATTTTGTTACCTGGATTATTGAGCATGAACTTTGGTGTTTTGAACCACATTGGCATTAGAGACTAAGAAGTTTGCAAATACAAGGAAACTGATTGTAATAAAATAATAAAGTGAAATAAATTTTATTTACATTACATTTTATTAATTATTTATCAACCTCTTGCTGTGAGGCAACAGTGCTAACCACTAAGCCGCTCCAATTAAACAGCTGTTAGAACCAGTTTAAGCTATATTTAAACGTTTGTTCATAAGTTTCATTTGTCTTTGCTGTTCAGCATAAGAACTGCATCTACTTTTAGAGGACAGAAACATATTTGGTGTGAGAATATCTTTTAATTGTTGTTGACAGAGATGGTCACAGAGAGGACATAATGGTGTGTCACTTGGACTGACTGGTCCTGTAACGTCCCTCATTGTGCAGCAACAGCAGCTATCATTCACCCACACCAGGCTGTCACTCCTTATAAACATCTTGTTGATTCATCAAGTGGGACAAAAAGCCCTGAAAGAAAACACCGCATGGAGGACGTCACAATTCACAGCCTGTAAGCTTTGACGTGTGTCCAGCTAAATGCGGCTGTCCTGAACTGAGGCGATACCAATTGAATGTGGGTCAGATCTTGAGATATGCCAGGCTTTAATACATTCAACTGGACTGTAAACGTAGAATACTTAAACGTAGATTTTTTTAAAAGCCATGGCAAATCAGTACATCTCTGAGATGCAGCATCTGGTTTTTGAGTTCTAATTTCGAGCAAATATTTCTGAGTCTGGTGCTGACACGAGTCCATGGAGACCAATTTCACAGAAATCTTTGGAAACATGAAGACACCGACTGTGCTTGTGTCTCAGTCCCAGCAGTGTTTGACCTCTGTTACAGAAGTGTTGCAGTCTGTGATGAAACTCTGCCAGACTCTCACTGTCAGTAATTAGGGATAGCTTATAGCTGTAAGGGTCCACTCTGCTCTTCTTTGTTTAGACTGGGCTACAAACAGACACACAGGTGGATGAGTTATGTGTCAAAGACCCTATTGTTTTCTTTACTGGGTCCTCTCAGAAAGTCTTGTTTTTGCACCTGGAGATAGCTGAGCAGTTCAGCCTGCCTCCTCTGGAGCTTTCCCTGGTGGTTTATATCTGGAACCTGGCAGAAGTATGTTGGCTGTGACACCCTTCTCACTTGAGCTCTTCTTCCTTTGAATAAATGCAAAATGGAGTGCCAGAGACCTGATTTTCTTTGACCTCATTTGCTGTATGGTCCTAAAAGTGTCAAAGCAATTCAATGAGACCACAAATAACCCTCACCTGTCCTGTTTAAAGCAGCCAGACGGGTCATTTTTGGTGACATCACATAGGTTCATAGCTCATACGTCAAACTAATTTAGCTCATTTTCTGTTACCAACACGGTGAAAGGGATTTCTCTGCTGCACCATGAGGGCTGATTGCCAATTGACAGTTACGATGAGGGGTCAGCAGTGCTGCAGAAATACATCTTGGGAGTTTTTGCTGCATTTTGTTTCTGCAGGAGAGAAATGTGGAAACAGGGCGGACAAACAAGCGCATAAATCAGAGCAGTGGGCCACAGAGGGGAAATGGAAGAGAGGATTGGGCAAGAGCTGGGAAGCAGGGAGTCCAGTTCAAGAAAAGATTTTTCTCTTTCTTTTTTCAGTCCTCTGGCTTCTTCAGCCATTTAATTAAAACCAACCAGTCACAGTTATGTAGGACTTCTGTTTTCAATTGTTTTAGGTGCCTACAAACATCTTGATCAGTTTAGATTTTGCAATGACAAGTAACACATCGACTCCTTTTTCCTTATTTAAATTTCTATATAGTATTCCAATAAAATACTTCAATTCGTAGTTGGTTTACCTTAATTGTTGCACAGCTGGTGCTTATTTTTGGTGAGATATCAGCTCTGACTGTCAGCTGATGATTCACATTCTAAGGTGCTTCTTAAGTGCTAAGTCATTCCACCATTGTTCTCGCTGAGTCTCTGTATTGACTTTGTCATCAAAGCAGTGATTGCAGTATTGAAGAAAGCAGGAACTCATCACCCTCTCGACTCCAGGGATTGATATTTTGTTCCTGTTTCTGCTTTGCAGATGTTCAACAAGATGACCAACGCAGCAGGCGCAGGTAAGGAGTTTATGGTTTTTGTGACGTTAATGCTAATGCAGCCATGTCAAAGTGGAATAGGCTGGATTTAATCTTTAATCCCTGATCAATTTGTCAGTTTTATCATACACAAACATCCACTCCAGCTACAGTAGAAAGGCTAAATTGTGCTCATCTTTCTGACTTGTGACTGTAGCGAATTGGCAAATTGTTCAGGGTGATTGCTGCTTCTGGGACAGCAGCACATGAGTTTAAAAGCTGGTGGAGAAAATGGATGTGTCACAAGATGGACTAAATATATATTAAGAAAGAAAACTTGAACAGAGACTCGTAGATGCCATCCCTCTTGCCTCTTTGTAAAAAGTTTTTTAAATTACACATATTAACTCATTGAAGAAAAGGCTTTCAATCATTGCAAACTTTGCACTAATTCCAGGGTGCAGAGACTCATTTCTGTCCTTTGTGCTTTAAATTACTCAACAAAGATTAAGCTGGAAGGGCAGCTGCTCTTTATCTATACACACAGAGTTCTTCTGCCTTTTTTCTGTCTCTGGTCAGTGCAGCAACAATTACAGGTAAAATATTTGACACTCTTGCCAGACGGCATTTTCTTATACTCACTTCAAGCCGATTAAGTTGAAAACTGTGATAACTTTATGTCTGGGTCAGTTATAACGCTTTAAGAGATCCCTACTCTTGGTTTACAGCAAGTGCTGCTGACGGACACATTGTGAAAATCTCCTTTCAAGCTGGTCCTGGCCTGTACGGTGGCATTACTCCGGCTCCAGACAACGTTAAATGACGGCCACAGGTGTCAGCCACCTCCTAGCCAGTGTCTCAAGAATGTCCAAATGCACATTCTTTTATTTAAAGGCCTTTTCATATGCTGGTTACTTGCAGTTAAATTTAGGCAGGATGCCAGATCATTGTTTCTGTTTCGCCGAGGGGAAATATTTGGCCTGGTGTGATGTGGCCCTTGGGGGGGCAGCTGCAGGATTTGGGTAAATGCCATTTTAGACTTGGCCTGAACTCTCACATGACCTCATTTATGGATGATGGCGTTACACAAGTGGACGTAATGGTCTTTGACATTTCTCTGTAGCTTTTACAAAGCAGTTACCTGATGTGTGGTCTCCTTGTGAAGTATTAAGGATATGCTATGACTCAGCGCTTATTTATTTATTTATTTATTTTGGGTCGACTGCTGCAAAAAGCATGGCCAAGTTTGTAAGAAGAGCTGTGATTATTATTTCAAATGTAATATACCAGAAAGTGTCACTGTCAGATTAATTTAGATTCAAAGTTAACTGAACCAACATGTGATTTTAACCTCAATTTAATGATACTTGGAAAATAATAACTGTAAAAAAAAATTTTTTTTTTAAATGGGGACAATGCTGGCTGAGTCAGACGTATTAGGTGTGATATTTCCTGGCTGCATTTTACAGCTGGGCTGCGGAAATCTCTTTCAAGGCATGACTTTGAGACAGCCAGATGTTTCTCAGTATCAACCATAACAACGCTGTCCATTTCATTAAACTGACATTGTCCAGGAGAGGAAAACACATTTCTGCTGTTAAGTGCCAAAACAGCAAAGCAGCAGTGAACCAATCAATGCTGTGTTTTTATATACATGTTAATATATAAAATTATCTCTGCATTTTATTGATAGTTTGTAAATCTGTGAAGCACAGGCCTGCTTGTTTTTTTTGTTTTTTTTCTGGAGCAGAACCAGAACTTGAGTTGTATGTCTACATATGGAAACACTCAAAAATGACTTTGTGCACAGAGGATCATAAAATAAGCTTAATATTCAATCTGAAATGATTATTTTCTAAAGGCATTACTTGGCAATAATGGAACATTTTTTAATTCTTAAATATATGGCAGACCAAACGTACAACTCTCACATGGCAGCGTTTGAATGGGAATTATTCCCCACAGCCTCTTCAATTTTAGCGTGGAAATTAATGAGTTCCTCTGGTGAACAAAGGCAATTACAGCATGTGCATCCTCAAAACCCTGGTGTCTTGACTGACATTAATCTTACAAGTAATGAAGCTGCGGTGACATTCTAATGATAAAAACTGTGTATCCAACCCGGTTTGTAATGCACAATACAGATGAGGAGTGTGAATTTACGTTTATTTGTCTTAGATTTATAATGGGCAGACCAGAGTTTTTGCAGTATTTACTTATGGTGCATTTGGTGAATGTATTTATGTCGGGCTCATTTTATCCAAAAGGTTAGACCAAAAGAGTGGATGGCTGGACCGCCGGGAGAAAAAGTTGTAAAGAACTGAATGAATTTTAACTTGCATGAATAAAAGCTCATGTGCTTTGTTATGATAAACATCTCCTTCCTAAATGCCAGTCGAAGGGAAAATAGCCCACGTGCAGCTCGAACAGCGCTCTGTGGCCCAGAACTGTCAGGCTGAGGCTTCCCTCTTGGCCTCTGAGGTTTCAACCAGGCTGTGTGCATTTACACAGATCTTCACTCTGAATAAATATGCTAATCTACATTCAACATGGAAATCTCTAGCTGCTGAAATAAAACAAAGAGGAAACTCTGTGAATCCCCCTTTTTATAAGGGAAGAAGCGTAAAGCCCTGTTTTCCTCACACCTGATGAGGATGACTTCATCAGAAAAGTTGTAGAAAACATGTAAACAGGATGTTTTACGTTTCAGTTTAGTTTTTTTTTTTAATATTTATGGTAAGTATAAAATGAAACAACCTAGGATCATGTTAATATGAACGTATTAGCACATATATGAAATATTTAGGACAGCCCTATGCTCTCTGAGGAGTTTGCATTAATAAAAATGAGTACAGTGAGAATTAATATTTATTGAATTACTGAAGGCAAACGTGTCAGTTCTGTTGGGGCTTTTGTAGAAGAATAATAGAAAAAGCTAAACTAAAAATTGTTACAACAAGCTGAAGGCCTTGCATTACTGTTTATTATACAGTAGATCAAAACTGGACTTTTTTTTTTATCTAAAACTTTATTTATCTTTATCTTTTATAAGATTTATTCTGTAGAGGGTTTCATTGACAATGTAACAATGAAATGAAACACGCTGCAATAAGTTAAACTAGCAATCACATTAGTATGAAGCTAGTCTGTGAGAATTCATCTTTGTGATTTGACGTTATTGATACTTTTGTACACAGTGCTCATATACCACCAGCACCAGTGGGTATTACATCATGTCTATGTGGCAGTGGTGTTGTCTTATTTTTATCTGGCCTCCTGCTCTTTTCTCAGCTGTTCTGAGTCCAGAGCTTCACTCAGGGTCACTGCTGTTGGAGGCTGACTGTGACCTCCGACAGCTGCTGTCTCTCTCTGGAGGTTTGTTAGATAATGTATTGTAGAGTCGTTGTGGCAACAAGTTAGGAGTAGATTATGAAATCTGACCCTTGATCAGAATATAGAAGAAGCAGGTATGATCAATAAAAAGTTAGATCCAACTTTGAATGTTTTGAGATGTGTGAGGGCTGCCAGTGAGAATCTGTTCTGACTTCTGGCTTTATTATGATTGATATATATATTCTGCATTTTTATGGTAAAAGTTCAAACTGTTTAAACACTGGAGAAAAATGTACAAGGACAGTAAATCTATGTTGTAAATGTTTGTGGCATGCCAAAATCAGACATTATGAAAACAAATCACTTTGTTATTCCTAATTTATTGTGTGAGGAAATCTAAAATCGTCTAGAATTTATAAAAGAAGTACCGTACTTTCCGCCTTAAAAGTCGCACTGCCATATATAAGTCACATCTGTTATGTGTCGCTGCTGACGCATCATGTTAATGTGTCACCGCTGACCACCCGGAAACGTGGGCCGGTGTTGTGCCAAAAATCGATTGGCTGCCAAATGGTAGCCGCGGGAGCGTGCACATGAGGATTTTAACAAGATTAACACTTCAAAACAATTATTTGTTTGCTCGAAATTATAGCAAAGGTGTGTCTCATTTTAACTTTTCCTTAATAAATGCACTTTAATGGTCAAATGAGCTGCATTTCAAAAATCCATTTGCGGCTTCTGGAGCGTGGCGTGGGAAGACTCACTGTGAATTTCTCCAAAATTTAACAAGATAACCACCTAAAAATAATCATTTGTTTGCTCGACATTATAGTAAAGGTGTGTCTCAGTTTAACTTTTCCTTAATAAATGCACTTTAATGATCAAATCAGCTGCATTTCACCTGGGCAGAGCGGCAAAATTAAGTTGATTTGACATTTTCTCCAGGAGTTCCGGAGCGAGACGAAGGTGGCTTGGTATGGCAAGCCAAGTGCCTCATTAATAGCCACTTTTACCTAACACTGAGACACTTGGCTTGCCATATAAGTCAATGGCCCTCTTATGGCTGAAAATGGTAGTGTTCAAAATTTTCCATGTCACAATGAATGAAATCATCAGATCTCAGCCAAAAATTGGGTTATAAATATGCGGGGGAAAAAAATAGTAAGTTAGTTGCTTTGGACTATAAGTCGCAGGTCTTGTTAATTTATGCAAAAAGACGTGACTTATAGTCCGAAAAATACAGTAATCATTGCTGCACCAGCATTTATTTATTTATATTGTCAAGTGTTCAAAATGCTGGATGTTGCACACTTGCATGTCTACAACAGGTCCCTCTTCAACAGTTAAACTCTTTTTGCTAATGTTAAAATAAACTGATTATGATTATATTTGTAGATTAGCACTTTTTTTTTCTTTCTTACAGTTGTGGTTTCTAACCTGCATATAAAATGCCTCAAATAGTAATTATGGACCCAAGTTTGTGCAATGTCCTATAAGCAAGAGAAATAGAGAAGTGTTGGCAACTTGAAAAAACAATTTATCACCTTTTGAAGAAAATTTAAATTCATGGTTTTAGGAGATATCACAGTGGAGAAAAATAGTGCAGCAATTAAACCCACAGCATACCATTTCCATACACTTAACGTTTTTTAAAGAACACAAAAATAATAGAAGAAATAAAATAATAAATATAAATTTCAGTTTTAAGG